TTAAACTTAAAAACTTACTGTGGAAAGTATCAAACAAGAAAGGAAAACAAAAGCCAGCAAGTTCAATTTGGCCATCTTCAATCAAAATGAAATGACAAACAGCTTTGTTTATTTAATTTTTATCTCACAGATGCAGACGATAAAAAATTAAATTAAAAATTAATCCAGCAGTCCATAAAAGTGCAAGCGACAGGCGAAGCAGATTAAAAAAACTAGTTAAATAGAAATACAAGTAAATAAAATATTAGTCATCATCGGCTAGAAATAATGGATGTTACGTTATCTAATTGGGCGAATTGTGTCGAGTAGCGAACGATCACTTGCCAGCTTTATCTATGTAAAGAATAACTAAATGATCTCATTTTGGTTTTAAATAATCTTAATTCTTGATTTTTGTATCATACTCCAATGTTTTTAAAAATATTATTGATTTTAGCAAATTATTTACGATGATCCTCGGCGGTTGATGAAACGAGTGATATAATTTGCTAATAATCTCTCTTGCTATCTCTTCTCATTGAGATGTAAGAAATTTTTATGGATGAGTTGAGTTGCTATACTCATGTCGTGAAGAGTATCTAAATAATGTATTGAATAGGATCAATAATATATCATACACCGGTATGCAGTCAGTCGCTGTTTGTGTATATATGCACAGAATATGCAGTTATAAAAACCATTTAACAAAATTTTGTTATAAAGATTGATAAGTCTCATATACAACACTAATAATTTAATAACAATTTACCAATAACACTGTACAAAAAAATTTAGCTTTTGAAAAAAACAACAATCAAATAGGATTATCTTTATTAAATCAGATGTGCTGATTCCATGAATATAAATTCCATGAATATAAATATATAAAGATATATTATATATATCCATGGCTGATTCTGAATATATAAATTTATATTTATGGGTTAGATTAGTATATAGCCTAGTGGAGTGAGGCAATAAATTGTCATTTTTAAGTAGGAGACTTTTACACTCAAGATTTTTAAATACAATCATGAATAGCTTTCTAACTCGTGTTCAAAAACAAAAGGTTATTTTCTGCCTTACATTTTTTCCGAATGAATGTATGTATTCGAGCGCGTGTGTATTAACCTCTCCCTCCTGCAAAAATTTAATTTTCACAATTTCTCTATTAATGACCTCAACGACTTCTAGATGTTATTTATATTTGCGTCGGACTTTCATTCAATTAGCTGTGCAGCATTCATATATAGTGAAAACAAACGTCACTATCTCAACTTTGGTCATAATAAATAAACCTTAACTATATATATATATAGATAGATAGATATATATAGAATATATACTATATAGGGATGCACCGGATTCGGATTTAAAATTCAAAAACCGGCCGGGGCCGGATTTTAGTTACCATTTTACATACGTTAGAAAAAATACTCACATTTACGGTTATCTACATGTTGAACATTAAAAAATAACACCAAGCAAATAGTTAATTAATTCAAATATATGAATAAGCTGTGTGATACGCCAAATTCTGTACACAAAAATCAGCTTAATTTATGCATAACCCATGTTATAGCATAAAGAAAATTGTCCAGCTCATCTCACAATTAGTGATGTTAATATTATATGTCATGTATGCACGTGCACAAGTTATTTTACACTAAGATCAGCTTATAATGTATGCATAATCCATGTTATAGCACAAAGAAAATTTCCAGCTCACCTCACAATTAGTGATGTTGTTATTATGTGTCATGTATGCCTAGCCTAACCTTTAACATACCATGTTCTTAAATAATGTGATTATGTATATATACAGTGTTGTTAAGTATTTAGAGTATTTAAATACTTAAATAGTATTTAAATACTCACCCCAGTATTTAAGAGGTATTTAAAATACTTAATAAAATAGCAGTATTTATACAGTATTTAAATACTTTAGTATGGTATTTAGTATTTAAAAAATGTAAATACTTTGACAAAAAATTGCTTAATCAATCATCTATTCCACGTTGTATATTTTTTGTTTATTCTACATATGTGATGTGCATATACTATGTAATAGTCTTTGCAAACTGTTCTAATCTGGTTTTTTTTGTATTTAGCTTAATTCACTCTAACTTTCAGTTCTTTGTTAAATAAAGGTAAACATGGCGGCTTATAAAATGAGCGGTTGGTTTAAAATGGGATTTTCAAGTTATTCGAATTTTCGGAAAGCGATTGTTCATCAGAAAATGCTGATAAAAAGATTTCTGGTAAATGTAAACTGTGTATGATGCCAGTTATGATCAGTGAACGAAGAAACGTCTCTTCAACTTTCCTGAAACACACGAGGGTAGTCAAAATCACTAATATTTTTTTCTCCTATTTTCTTATGTTTTAGTTTTAGTTGTTATTTTCATACTTGGACCAGTTCCAGATTTATATATTATAGTCATAGAAAGTCATCTTATATTTGTAAAGTATAATACATGCTTAATTAATTTTTATTTAGTCATATCTTTAATATTAATAGTAGACAAACAAACCTTCCTAAGCCTGTCTTTGTCTAAAAATGTTTGTAAATCAAGATTTATTCACCATCAAAATATAAAATTTATAAGATGATCACATATACATAACCCAAAAACTAATGATAACCTCAACTGAACAATCATTTTTTTATATAAGATTTTCCACCAAATTGTGCTGAATGATCATCAAAAAGAAAAAAAACCACTAAGAGAACAAAAGGTGAAGAACAAGAAGATGACTGCATCCCATGTACAGTAAAACAACCAAAAATTACGACTTTTGCAACTCCATCTTCGGTTTTACAGTGTCTGTTTGATAAAGTAATAATCAAATATATAGTCCAAGAAATGCGACCAGTTAGCGCTGTTGACAGTGAATCATTTCAAGATATTTTTCGTTTGGTCTTTCTATTATGTGTCGACAGACTCTGCATGAAAAAATTAATAAATTGATTTTGGATGTGAAGGAGACTGTACGAAATCAGTTAGAAGAGGCACAGTATGTATGCACGACTGCAGACCTATGGAGTTCATCCAACAGATCATTTTTAGGTATAACTGCTCACTGGTTTGATATTTCAAGTCTAGAAAGAAAATCTGCTGCTCTAGAATGCCTGCGCTTCACAGGGAAACACTCATACGATAAATTGCTTCAGCAATCAGTCAGACACATGCTAGCTTTAATATTGATAGTAAAGTGTTATTCTCATGCACTGATAATGGATCAAATATAGTGAAGGCATTTAGTGAGAGTTCTGCAGTTAAAGAGCAGTTATTATCTGAAGATGATAAAGACTTTGAGTTTTATGGTGATGATGAAGATGCTTCGTTCAACACAGGGGTTGGGGAAGCTATAGAAAAATACAAGGCAGAGACAGGTGTTGTGATCCATCCAGATCATTTGAGGTGTTGCTCACATACAATAAATTTGATTGCTACAACTGATACTGAAAAGGCTCTAGAACATAGCAGCTATAAAAAGCTTTACCACCAGGCTATGGTCAAAGCTACTGCGATTTGGAATTCCACAAAACGTAGTACAAAAGTTGCTGATGCTGCATTTGAGATAGTAGGTTATCAGTTTTCAATACAATGTGTAACAAGATGGAATTCATTATGCAACTCTGTTAAACTGATCATCAATTGTGAAGAGAAAATAGCACGTGTTCAAGGTTCTTGGTTTACCCCCACTGTTCCACTTTGAGGTAGTTTTTTTAAAGGAATTTATTTCAGTAATGGCTCCAGTAGCCGCAAGTCTTGACATTCTGTAGGGAGACAAGACTTGTTCACTGGGCTATGTTTTGCCTACATTGACGACTTTAACAAAAAAGCTTACTTAAATGGATCTGAAGCACACAATTCCTTTAAGAGATGCCTTATTACAGGAGATTGACAAACGTTTTGGTACTTATCTTAATGATAAAGAATTTCTACTTGCTTCAGTGACTCATCCTCGCTTTAAACTGCAGTGGATAGATGATTCAAAACTCAGGGCAAAATGCCTGCAACTTTTAGAACAGTCTGTGTCTACTATTACATCAAGTACATCAGAACCGGTTTATAAAAGCAGGATCAATGACAGTAAAACAGAAACGTTCTTTGACTTTGATGATGAATTATCCACAGAACAATCGCAACAACATTTTCAGTATCTTAATGATAAAGATAAAGATTTAAAAATGTTAGACAAACATTTAAAAATTAAACAACTTTTCATTAGATATAACACAGCATTGCCTTCAAGTGCCCAGTTGAATGACTATTTAGTTCAGGTGCTCTTATTTTAACTGAACAGCGTAATCGTTTATCAGATGATCTGTTTGAGTCATTACTGCTCCTTAAAGTTAACCAACACTATTGGTAAATTTTAAGTATTAATGTCTTTTTTCATTTCTAATGGAAACATTTATGAGATTTACTAAAATGTGATATGGGTGTATATAAAATAATAAAAATAAAATTTTGTTAACTCTTGATCCTTTTTTATTAACGTGCAAATTCTAGTATCAAATGAAAACTGCATGGTATTTAAAATAATTTTTAAATACTTGTAGCCAGTATTTAAATACTTGTAGCAGTATTTGGTATTTAAATACTATTTAAATACTGAATATTGACAAAGTATTTGCAAAGTATTTAAATACTCAACATGTGAGTATTTTAACAACACTGTATATATATATATATATATATATATATATATATATATATATATATATATATATATATATATATATATATATATATTATGTAGCTTTATGATCCGTCATATACAACTATATAGTACACACACGTGCACAAGTTCTTTTACACAAAGATCAGCTTATAATTTATGCGAGACCCATGTTATAGCACAAAGAAAATTGTTCAGCTCACTTCACAATTTGTGATGTTGTTATTATGTGTCATGTATGCTTAGCTTTTAACTTATTGACATAAAATTAATTGAATCCAATGAAATTTTTTTTTCTATTTATAACATTTTTAAATGTCGATAGACGCTTAAATCCGGCCGAGGCCGGACTCGGCCGGATTTGAAAAAAAAGCCGGATATTGGCCGGGGCCGAACTTCGGTGCATCCCTAATACTATATATATATATATATGGCCTAACCATTATAGACTTGGAGATTAATGAGAAGCTTTCGTTTCTAGAACACTGAAGGAGTGTATTATAAAATCATTTTTTATGAATGAAATATTTTTTTAAATTAACACCAGAATAAAACTTAAACATGATTATGCAAATATAAAAAATTAGTCTTATAGATAAAAAAAAAATAAGAATGTAAATTGAAAACTTGGATTTATAAGTTAAAAATCCTCAAATCAGCAGTTTAAATAGCGTTAACGTTTTTGTTCATCAAACACTTATTGATTAGATGTAATTTCCACGATTCGCGGTATTTCTCATAACTTTCATCGTCATCGCTACTGTCACTGACCATCAAATCGAGAACTTTGGCTTTGCACAGAGGACATCTATCTTTTGCGATGTCCTTGAGGTCTTCATTGTTCACTGTGCAAATACATTCTCCCTTGATGTGCTTGTAATACTGGTTTACCTCTTTGAGCTGTTGAAAATACATTTTAAATTGAAGATTAGTTCTTTCATTTTCTTTACATTAGAGGTTACTACAACGGCACAGATACCGGTTTCAATTAAATTTGTTAATAATTTTCAATGAAAAGAAAAAAAGTTACGTCAGAGCAATATGGGCATTTCATCAACATAGGGCACCGATATTTGTAATGTTCGTTGAGTGATCCTTTTGGTTGCTCTATCTCACAGAAGTCACAAAAACTGCAACGAATCAAAAAATTATTCATAACAAACGCCTTTACAGTTTGTTTTAAATTTATGTTTCAAACAATAAAAAAAATTACTCTCTTTCGCGCTTGCTTCAGAGATTTCAACGACAAACACACACACCGTATATGAATATGCGTGAAAACCACGCACCATACACATTGCATATGATAAGCGGGGATTTCTTTGTATTTGAATCCAGCCACTGTAGCAGCAAGACAAGGCGCTTTTAACCATTGAGCCATCACTCCACCTAATAGTCTAATCTTTCAGTGTACATGAACATATCCAAGTCAAATAGTCATCAATATGATCCACCCCAAATGTAGATTTAATGTTATAACCTACTGAAGCATCTAGGTCAGCATGGCTGCCCTGCTGACATTGTAAAAAAACAAAGGTCTAGTGGTTAAGGTCACCTAGTGCTGTTTCGCAGTGTCTGTCTTTGACCAAGTTCGAATATGACAAAAAGATCCCCGGTTAACAGACCTTACCTTTTCATTTCCAAAACTTATTTTATTTTTCAAACCATTCACCACAGTTCTATCATTAAACCGTTAGCTCTCTATTACACTAGAGAAAATGTTCGGTCAATTCTCTCCAATCTATTCATTTCATTCACCTAACATTTTCAATAGCTCTACAAATTTTTCCAAAGATTTTTTCGCACTTTTTTTTGATAGATGATCAATCCCTTACACATGCATTATACACTAGTTAACTAATCAAAACCGCCACTATACATCCTTAAAATAGAGCTATGCACTGAATGATAAGCAATAACTTATCTCAAAAATTGTGCAACCCCAAAGCCGTCCCAAATAACTAAGCATCAGTCACCTCTAGTAAAGGCACTTATTATCAAACCAGCTATAATCGTTGATTGTTTTAAAATTTTCGTCCTTTCTTGCTCAGTCTTTTCAAAGCATTTTGTAATTAAAATGCTTCAACTACCTAAACCAACAAACACAAAGTTTTTAGGAAATACCAATTATTGATAAGAAACAGTTTCAAGTTTCATTGTATACTAGTAAATATGTAAAAAAAATATGTTTTAGAAAATGCTGATCTTTCTGTAAAGTTCACTTTCATAGCAACCACAAATGCTTAACTGCACTAGAGTATCTATAGTTGACGCACATTCAGAGCGATAACCTCGTTGCAATCTTGCAATTCCTAGACTCCTAGAGCATCATGCAGAATCCATAAAACTCACTCAGTCCATTGTAGGTTTTCTCATACCAAACTTCCTTTATAAAATCTATAGTTGATAATTAACATTTGAAACAATTATCTATTTCAACTAGTTACTAATTTGGTTAGTGAAGTTGAATTAACACAGCACTGATTTAAAGAAGCAGTGCTACAAATCTAGAGCTACAAATGCAGTTGACACGCTGTTAATTTATATTTTACCAGCTCGTAAAACACGTTTAATCTGCTATTGAGCACTTAAAACATCGCGAAATGACATTTTTCTCTAAACGATTTGATTAGCTAATTTTTATTAATGTCATAAATTATTAGTACATAAAATGAAGCCAAATAAAAACGTGATTTGAATGTAAAGGCAAGAATTTCAGAACCTTCTATCATCATAATCATGGTACAGCTCATGGTCCTGTACATTCAAGTTATCTCGTTGATCATTCTTCTGATGCAACGAATGCTGCTGAATGAATTTATTTTCTTTGTTGTTCGGTCCTGAATCGCCCGAGATTTTAATCACCCCAGAAACTGATTTTGTTGCGGGAGAAAATTTATCTTCAACATTAAATTTTGATAAATTGGTCTTTGGCTTTGGGATGTTTGTTTTGTTTTGTTGCTTCAACGTGACGTTGCCATTTTTCCTAGTGCTCTCTGTATGTGGCTCTGGTTGACGTGGTTGTCGTCTGTCGTCATTTTTTATAGCAATCGCTACAGGTGCAACATTTTTCTGCTTCTGAGGCAATGCCTGTTGTGCTTGTGAAGAGATTGCGGCACTGATGTTTGACTTACTATTAGATCCATCTAGTGCATCAAACTTGTTTAGTAAATGTTTGTAGAGAATGTTTTTAGCGGTTTTAATTTTTACATTCTCGTCAGCAGGAAAGAACCCTCTGACTACTTGACGATTGTTTTTGTAGACGTCCATGACGAACTCTTCTGTTCTCTCGCGAACTTCAAAGTGGTTGCTTGAGAGGCAATAAATGAGGAACGGCATCAACTGGTCTGTCGGCATGGGCCTTGAATATTTCAAATGAAAACAAAACGTTTATGAGCCGAAATGACTGTTTTTACAAAGTAATTTGTTTTACCTATTAATGAACTAAAAACTTAAATCAGGGCGCCAAACTGGTACTAAAAGAAAACCCGTCATAACCGATAACCAATAACAGTTCAAAGCCCAAGTTAATTGAAAAATAAGAAGTTTCCTAAGTTAGGTAGTTATTTTTCATAAATAATACTATAGCAAACCAACAATTAACCAAAAGCACCAAGTTGTTATTCAGTGAGAAAGACTACAAATCAGAACTTAGAAGGCAGTTGAAAAATTTCTTATTAAAAATAGTATATGAAAATAAAAAGTTTGATGAGGATATTGTCAGTTCTAACCAATCCTGATAACTTTCAACGTAGACGAGATGCATGAAGGAGAGGACGTTGAGAAAGAGCAGCTTGGATGATGGGTTGCTTTTGCAGGCCTTCACACATTCACTGCTTATTGCACTTTGACACTTACGTTAAGTTATTTTGATATCACAAATTAATTAATTAATTAACCAATTAATTAACCATAATTAACAAAAAAATATTCATCTAATGAACTAGCGTTTAAAATTTTAAAAGGGCTCTTGTTTTTAATTTTTGTGATGTATACAAAGAGGAGCATACCGAAATGCATACCAGCATGCCACCTCAGCCGTTCATCCTTTCGAGGTTGGTAAATGGTTAGTTGTCGCATGTTGGCCGCGAGATGGCTCAGTGGTTCAAATGCTCGCTGAGTCAAACATCTCAATGGCTATCATATACTCAGCGTATATGATGCGGTGCTTGCGCGTGCACATAAATACATGTTTACGTCGTGTGAAAAGGATAAACAGCCTTTGTGGCGAAGATGGCTGCTTCAAATCAATGGATGAAGATATGAAGAACATAATAAAAAATATACAAGATAATACATCTATAACATTGTAAGTGGTTGTGCGTATGTTAGAGCTGCAATAATAAAGACTAAAAAACGAAATGAAATGGTCCATATTTTGGAACATATTATATATATAATAATGTATTAGTAATGTATATGTAATGTAATGTATAATAATGTATTAATGTATATATAATAATGTATTAGGCACACGTAAAACCTTTGAATTTGGCATGTTGTAAAGTTGGATCAATAGGTTTTTAGTGGCCTCTCTGTGCTGCTTGGAAGACTTGAGTAGATGAATAGTTAATCCACATCAAAACAAATTTCTAATATAACCAAAATCATTTCTATAATTTGAGTTATATAGTAATTATATAGTAATGTTAACATTAAACAGTTATCAAGCCATCAATGCTTTTATTGACATAGGTGATCACCATCAAAGTAATTAATAATGCTAATATTAACTTCATTGTAAATAAGTTTTTATCAAAATGTGAAATATTTTAAGAACCACCACAAAACCATAATAATACTTATTCCATTAATAACAATATCCCAACAAACAATCAATGAATGAGCTAACATTATCTCCCAGCTTCAGCACCAGGATTGGTATGACAAGATCAAGAGTTGGCAGGTTGGAAGACTTCTGAGCAGCAGGACTTGTATTTTTGTCAAATCAAAATTTATTATTTTCATGATAATATTCACTGACATCATTGTAATAATCATCAACTTCATTTAACTGTCTAACTTAGTCTGGAAATAATGTATCCTAGCTAATACAAACTAAAAATTCTGCATTTCATTCAATTTCTTTCTCACATGATTAAATAATATATTATATCTCCAATATTTTCAAGTGAGTAAATACAAATTAACAAATAAAATTATTCATTTAATGATCTCACAATTGGATCAATTCAATTTACAAAACGTGAATTTTAGAATCGTGTTATCTTTGTGAAATTTTATTTATTTGTTTAAGGTGTGTGCGTGCGTGTGTGTATGTGCAGAACTAACCCATTTGAGAATTGAAACACCACCAAGAAGCTTAATGTTAAATTAAGGAGAGTCTGAAAGACCTGCAGTAAAATAATTTTTTTAAATATCTAGCCACCAATGAATGTGGAGTTTTTAATTTCAAAGCCCTCAAATACTAAAATCATAAAATATCTCACCATTGTGTATCATAGTTATTAACTAATAAAACATTAACTAATAAAGGTATGGATAAGAAAGCAAGATATGTATTACAATCACAGGTAGGAATACACAGACAGGAAAATGAATTGATTTCTCTTGTGATTCCGAAAAATAGCATTTAATAAAACTAAACTTCACCATAGAGACGAAAATTTCAAACCTGAAAAATATGATCTTTAACATTCTTCTGAAAGATCAGATCAAATGCTTTCACGTACTGCAATCTATGTTCCTTGACATCGTTGCCAATGAAACTATTGTTGTTGTTCAACAGAGTGCTGTTATTAACGTATGCGCCGCTGTTGTTCATGTTTCCTTTCAAGCTCTCCATCTCAGACCTCACTAACTCCAACCCTTCCAAACGTTGCTGCCATTTCTTCGACCAGAGTTTGCATGCCTTCCAAAAAAGGTGACAATGTAACTTAATACATTTAATTGAGATGATTAGTTAAAGCATAAACGGATATTAATAACACTGCCTCACAATTTCCATTCCGAATCGGTCAATGATGACGGAGGCCTCCTTCAGGTCCTGTTCAGATAGCGGCTCCAAGCGTGAAGTGTCTGTTAAGTATAAATATACGCAACATCGTTACTTGTGGAAAATTTGTCATTTAGCAGATTCTTCAATTCAATCATTTAGGCATCTGCTAAATGACTAATATACCTAAATTCATCGACCAGACAGAGCGGAATATCATATTTAATGAAAAGTAGGACAGCTGCAAGCGGTCGAAATTGGTTAATACGTGGAATTAATATATGAAGTGAAGTTGTAGGTGACGAAACAGGAGCAATGTTTATAAATTCTTTTGAAACTTTTGAGAAAAAAAGTTTGCTCAGTTTCAGTATTGCATGATTTAGCATATTATATTTTGTTCACTCATTATCTTTATTGGAATTTTCATTGAATTAAATTAATTTGTGTGTGAACATGAACTTTTATGCAAGTAATTATAAATAAAATTACATGAAAGCCTGTATAAAATACAACCTGTAACTGGATCATAGCAGTCATCCGATGGCTCCATCAGCTCCTTGTGGATACTAAATAAGGAAAATTAAGTTATAATATTGCAACATAAATAATACCTGTCTCATAAAAAGTTTTACAAAAATGTTTATTATCTGAAACGTTGAATTCTCCACCTATCCTCTTTAAAGACCAACCAAAACAGCCGCTCACAATGCAGTGCAATCAATCAATCAATCTTCGTTTTGCGTCCAGAGACCCGGTTTCCTGAGGTAGGACGTTGTTTCTTTGCCATCAACTTTTTGCGCCAAATTAGACAATCAGTTGTATCCATTTCATTTAAATTTAGAGCTTTCATGTCTTGCTCGATTGTTTGCGACCAGGACTTCATTGGACGGCCTTTGGGACGTGTGCCAGGTACTTCAACATCTGCAAGAGAAGTTATGGCACTGTTTCCACTTCGTTTGACATGACCAAACCACCGCAGACGGTGTTGCCGGCATTCTTCCTTTATATCATCTAAACCAGCACGACGCAGGATTTCGGTAGATTTGATGTGGTCCTTCAGACTAATTCGTTGCATCCATCGGAGCATTTTCATGTCGGTTCGTTAAAGTTGTTGTTCCAGTTTGGTTGTCATTGGCCATGTTTCTGCACCATATAACAACACCGGACGTATCACAGATTTATAAAGTCTTGATCGTAGTGGTAGTGGGATGTCACGTCGCATCAATATAGAGGCAAGGAGATGCCATTTATTCCAGGCTGCACGTATGCGTGCTCGAACGGCAGCTTCAGCTGTTCCAGTACAATCCAGAACATCCCCTAGATATTGAAACGATGTGACTTTCTCTATTTTAATGGCTTCAAAAACAGTGCTATTTCGAATTTGTTGTTGTGGATTGATGCAAGCAGGACAAACAAAATTGGACACTTTAGATAAAGTACCAATTATTTTTGAACAACGTTTGTGACACCACTGGTTACACTGCTGACACTTGATAGAATTGTTACCTACACCAGCTTTACAAACTGATTAGGGCCATCGTCCAGTAGCTGTGGATTGGATGGGTTCACCAGTGTTCATTGCTTTGGTTTTGCTGATGTTGACTTTGAATCCATGATCGGCGAGTCTGGTGTTCCAATCTTCAAACATCTGTGCTGCATTCTGCTCAGACGTGGCTGTTAAAACGATATCATCATCATATACTAGATTCCAAATGTCACCAGTGCGTATCGGTTTTGTGATTTCTTCCACAACAGTTATAAATAAAAGTGGACTGAGAATCGAGCCTTGGTGAACTCCAACGCCGATGTGAAATGCATCTGTGTTTCCAACCGTTGTGCTGACAAAAGTCTTAGTATTCGTATACATTTCCATCACAAGTCGAACAAGATATTCTGGAATGAATTGTCGACGTAGACTCTGATTGCTTCACGGGGAACTCGATCAAATGCTTTTTCAAGGTCTACAAAAATGTGTGATAGTTGTTGATGCTTTGCGAGGTACTTCTCTTGCAGTTGCCGAAGGATGTGAATTGCATCAATTGTTGATTTCCCAGCTAGAAAACCAAATTGATAATTTCCGATTGTGATGCAAGACGTTAATCTTCTCTCAATGATTTTTTCAACAATTTTCAGGGAGTGTTCCAACAGACGTATATCTCGATATGATGAACAGTTCAATGGATCACCTTTGCCTTTGTATAGCGGGACTGTCATGCTATAGTTCCATTCAGTCGGCATTGAGCAATTTCTCCAGATTTCACGGCAAAGTTGTAGTAACGTTTGGATACCTGCAGTACCAGATGCTTTGATAATGTCATTTGTGAGTCCAGAGGGCCCTACTGCCTTTCCATCCTTCATAGCTTTCAGAGCTTCTGTAAGCTCCTCTAAAGTGATGTCTGGAATCGGACCTTCGATGGGTGGAGCGTCAAAGTTAACATTGATGGGATTTGTTTCGTTTAACAGACGATTGAAGTATTCTCTCCACTGTAGCTTGATCTCATGTTGTTCAAGAACCATCTCATTTTTGTCGTTTTTGATACATGAGGCACCAACTATGTCTTTTTTCGTACGCTTTGCTTGTTTTGCTATACGATAGAGATTTCATTTGTTCACCTTTGCTTTTAGTGAGCCACTCTCTGCACTGATCTGTCCGAGCCAGTGCAACTTGACGTTTTGCATAGTTGTTCTTCTCACGGAAAATTTCATGGTCATCAACAGACTTTAATTTTTGCCATTGCTTGTATGCAACTTTCTTTTCAGCTATTGCATTTTGTACACTGTCATTCCACCACCAAGTGTCACGTTCATGCTGACGTTTTGTACCAGTTTCCCCACAAACTGTAGTTGCAGCGTTCATTAAAACGGTTTTGTATGTACTCCAATCTGCTCACGATGCAGTCAATGCACGATGATTTAAAATAAAGTTAATAAGAATAACGAGACCTAAGTAGTTTGTAAGCAGCTCAAAAATAGTTCGCTTGAATGTGTCAAAAATCACAAATGTGAGCTAGGAAAATTATAACATGTTAATAATGATTGATTGGTTTCATTGATAACCTGCTTACTCCCAAAATATATCGAAGCTGGCCACCACCGACCACCAATCAGCAAAAGATAAAAATATGGATTCCAATATTTTAAAAATGCTCATAGCAGAATGCAGCTTAAAACATTATGGCGAAGCAAATGTTCAACACACATCAACAACAACAACACACGTTTAGATGACATTTTCCCCGAGATCGGGGGTTGCCGTTTGGCTACCTATGATGAAACCGAAATACCCCTCGACGCCATCCACATCTGTCACTCGCCTCAGTATCACCCAACCCCGCTTTCACCCTGTCCTTCTCCACCTGCTCTCTCCATCCCGATCGCGGACGACCCCTTCCTACCACTCCTTAAACCTCGAACTCCAACGCTCGCCTAATCCCAACCCTTTCATCCCTTCTCAACACATGTCCATAGCATCGCAATCTCGATCTCCTTATCAATGTCACAATGTCCTCATTCAGTCCCATCATTGACATCAGCTCTGTACTACTCCTCCTATCCTTCACTTTAACCCCACACATCATCCTCACCATAGCTGTTTCAGCCCTCTGCAGTACACTTTCCTCCTCTCTCCTCAACACCCAAGTTTCACCACCATATACCATCGCTGCTCTCACACATGCTTTATATACCCTCCCTATCATCTTCATTGACCATTTCTTTCCACACAATACCCCACCCAGTTCCCTAAATTTCATCCATCCTACACGAACTCTAGCCGTAACTGCGCTCAAACATCCTCCATCCGCGTTCAGCTTATCCCCTAAGTAAACAAAGCTTTCCACTCTTTCAATACCACCACTCAACCCCGTCCTTGCGTCCGTCCTATTAATCACACCATGAACACATTTCTTACATTTGAACGTGCCTTCCACCTTTTTTAGTGCCCCCCTCACACCACTACATCTCTTATGCACCCATTTCTGACATCCTATACACAATACCGAGTTAGCCTTCACTCTCCTGTCACATACCCCACAGAGGTCTATTTTACTTATCACTCGCTCCCCACCTTCCCCACTCACCATTACCTTCGTCTTACCAATATTAACTTTTAACCCTTTCTTTTCAATAACACTTTTCCATCTGTCAAATTTTAACTGCAATTCTTCCATGCTATCAGCCATCAAGACTAAATCATCTGCATACAAAATCTCAAATAACAACCCCTCCATTATGTTTCCACACACAACATCCATCACAATTGCAAACAGAAACGATGATAACACTGATCCTCGATGCACTCCTACCTTAACACTAAAAGCGTCCGACATCCCCCTTCCAACCCTCACCATTGTCTTTGCCCCTTCATACAGCTGCATCACAGCTTTAACAAGTCTCTCATTCACTCCTTTCTTCCTCAACACCCATTCAATGTCCTTCCTCGGTACCTTCCTCAAAAGCCTTTTCTAGATCCACAAAACACATGTACAATCTTCGTTTCTTCTTTCTATAATTCTCCTGCAACATTCTCACCATGAACAACGCATCCACCGTTCCCCTACCAGGCATAAACCCACACTGCATTTCATTAACTGTCACCATATTTCTCAACCTCCTCTCAAGCACCCTCTCCACTACCTTCATTCCGTGCTCTAGCAATTTCACACCCCTATATGACCC